CGGGCGCAGGGAAGAGAGAGGCATGGATCTGGAAGCGGGGACGCGTTCCGAGGCGGCTGCGTGCCTGTTGTAATTAGAAAGTTGTGAAGGGCGAGGAGAGCCTGCCTTATCTGCTGAGCAACCCTCATCTCCGGGGTGCGGGCGCAGATCCCTCCCCCTGACAGCGGAGCGAGCCCGAAGCTGGCGGCTCTGGAGCGCGGCCTGGGGTGGGCGGGCGGGCGGGGGTCCTCCTGCTGCGGAGCAGGCGGGCAGGTCCGCGGAGGCAGTGTGCCCAGAGGGCTTTGCAGTGGCGCGGGTCCTTCCTCTCCCCGCACTCCCCTGGGCGACGCCCGGATCCTAACCTAGCCTGCTCTCTTTGCAGCCCGGTGCCTTGGCAAAGAAAAAAGGGCGCTCGGACACGCGTTCCAGGCGGGTCCGGAGAGCGGTTCCTGGGCGCCCTCACTCTCCTGACGTCTTGCTTGCCCGCAGTTACTCCCTCAGCCCTTTGCTCCTGCGCATCCGCTCCCACACCGGAGGCAGTTTTGGTTGGCGTGGGCTCCGTCCTCCCTCGGCCGGTGGGAACGGTGTGCCCCAGAGAGGAAGTCTGGTAGGCCCGGCCCCTCCCAGCCCAGCGCCCATGAGTGCCAGGGCGCCCAAGGAGCTGAGGCTGGCGCTGCCGCCTTGTCTCCTCAACCGGACCTTTGCGTCCCCCAACGCCAGCGGCAGCGGCAACGCGAGTGCCCGCGGCCAGGGCACCGGCAGCGGCACCTGCATTACGCAGGTGGGACAGCAGCTCTTCCAGTCCTTCTCCTCCACGCTGGTGCTGATTGTGCTGGTCACCCTCATCTTCTGCCTCATCGTGCTGTCCCTCTCCACCTTCCACATCCACAAGCGAAGGATGAAGAAGCGGAAGATGCAGAGGGCTCAGGAGGAATATGAGCGGGATCACTGCAGCGGCAACCGCGGGGGCAGAGAGGCCCCGGCCAGTGGCCAGGCCCCAACCCACGCAAAAGAAACCCGGCTGGGGAGGCAGCCCCGGGACTCCGCCTTCTGCGACCCCGCCAAGGCCTCCTCCTCCTCCTCCTCCTCCTCAACCCCAGGCCTCCCATGCCAGGGTCCCTATGCTCCTCCGCCTCCGCCGCCCGTCCCCAGTCCGCAAGGAGCACATGCCACCTCCTCCTGTTTGGACACAGCTGGCGAGGCCCTTTTGCAAACGGTGGTACTGTCCTGATTGTCTAGCCCCTCTCCTCCCCCTTCTTGTCTCCAGCATCATTGCAGTCCTCGCTGTTCCCCTCAGTCCCTCCTCTCACTTTTCTCTGACCTCTCCCTTTCCTTCTTTCCTTGTTTGCCCTCCCTTACTATTTCTCCTCCGCCGAGGCACTGTGCGGTATTTGTAAATATTGGGTAAGGAAAGTCTCGGAAGAAGAAATAACGCTGATAAGAATACTTTATTATTAATATTTATAGTAATTATTATAATACTAATAACACAATCCAAGCGCATGACAAATCACGTAATTTCTCATTGTCAAGGAAGGATGCGTCTTCCCTCTCCACCCTGCGCCCCCCCACAATAAGGAGGAGAAACCGCACATGCTACCAAATATATAACAGGTTTTAACCCGGAGCAAAGAGTGGAGGGGCCCCGTGTGTTGTACATAGCTGTCAGGTTAAGGTTCCCCTACCCTCCGCCCCCCAAGCTTTCACTTTCCCGTCAGATTCCCTCCCTTCCTCATTCCCTCCCTCAGCCAGGCTCAGGCAATAGTATATGATGAAGAAAACGTCTACATTAAGCGCCAGGACTACCAGAGGCCGCAGAGACAGTCCCAGAAAAACGTTATGACAGGTACTGCTCTCCAGTCATTCCTCTTCTCACTCCTTAGTTAACCATTCCCTTTTCCAGGACCAGGCATTTTAATTTACTTTTAGATATGCCCCTCGCTGGCCGAGCATAAGTACATTAAAAATCTTTAAATTAGTTTTTAAAAATCTACTGCTTCAGCTCTCTGCCCCACCCCTACCTGTACACCTTTGACTTGTGGCATTTTCAGGATTCGCAAAGGACCCGGGAGCTGTCCAGCCAGGTCTGGTGCTGAAATAGCCTCACAGAACTGGTTACTTTTTTTGGTTGTGCAGGCGAAGGAGGGGCTTTTTGGAAAGTGACTATTCTATTTTTTGTTGGTTTCTTTCTTCTTTTTCTACAACCGGGTTTGTGTGTACTATAGGTTTTCTTAATATTTAATATTGTATAAGTTACCTTTTTTTTGTAAAAAAACAAACAAAACAAAACTATTAGGTGATGTTCAGTACTGAAAGTGCAGTATCTAACCAACCAGAATGTTTCTGTTTAATTTTTAGGAGAAGTACACCTTTGTTATACATTTATTACATTGGTACCAAATACAGAAGCAAACTATAGTTCTGTTATACATCCTCCAAACTGTATATTCTTGTTCTAATTTCCAGCTGTTGGTATAATGGTTATCACTGGATGAGAAATTCAGTGGTGCAGGTCTGACTTCTACTGTTTCCAGAAGTGTTCTTTTGTATCTTACTCTGTAGTAGACTGTTATATAAATATAACACATATGTTTTTCTTTTGCAAATAACAGAAACAACCACAATAGAAAACAAAGAATGGATGTGCAGGAATGCCATCTATTAAAACATGGCTAATATTTAAACAGTGCCTGTAATCCTCCCTGCATGCAATTACCACCTGGAGGCAGTAGTGTGTATGCTTGCTTGTACTGTATGTGTTTGGAGGTGAGACTGGTGGGGATGTTGGGCAATTTGGATGACAGGACATGTAAATTTCAAGAGAAGTTAAGCCCAGTAACTACTTATAGGATAAAAATATTTGCAGCTTGCTTACTTAGAAATCTGTGCTTGCATTTGAAATGTGGCAAAGGAAGTGTTCTCTTTCTCTTTATGAGTCTGGCTTACCTAACTTCAATGAATACATGAAGAAAGGTTGAAAAACACGGAGAGTGAGAGAAAAAGATTAATTGTTGTTGTTGTTTTTTTTGTTCCCTCTCCTGATGCCAGAGAAGGCAATCTATGCTAGTAATGGAGTCCACCCATGGTTGCTTACCACTTTTTTTCCCCTGGACTGATGATGGTGAGAGCAGAACATATTACAATCTTAATTATATGCAGTGACATCCCTTCTTGGAAACCAATCCTTGACAGCTATTCAAACATTTGGAAAACGTATGAGTGAGAACGTTATACAAAAAGCTCAACCAAAGGAGTCCTTACTAACCTGCAGGGTATAAAGCAACAGTGCCCCTAAGTGCATCCCCTCCCAAATAATTAGTAGTTCTAGATTCTTTGTCCCGGTTCCAAGCATATGTGCTTTTTCCCAGAGAAAAATATTACCTCTGAGGTTAATTCGCCCAAACTCAGTCTGCATCTTTTATAAAAAATAATTAAATAAGCTTAATTTTAATCACCCATTAGATATTCACTCAAGTCCTTTCCTAAAGCACAGAGGATCATCATTTAAGCATGCCATGTGGTCATATTAGGGAGACCAGGTATATAATCTTTGGATACAATATATTAAACAATGAACCAGATTCTCTCCAGTGCCTTAGTCACTTCCTAGTATAAGTAAAAGAGTGCATTAACTCCCTCAGGCCACTAGGAAACCCTTTAGTGCATCAGAATTATACGTTGTACATCAGAAGGACTAAGGCACTGTGTAGAAGAAAGTCCATTAATATTTGTAGTTCACCCTCATCTGGTTGTAGCTCTTTAATACCTTATTACAGAATGACTTTTGGATTTGAAATTTGAATAGAATCAAGGACTCAGAAGGGAGCTTCTTCATTTCCATTGAACTCCACTAAGTGCATGAGCATTACTTTCTACCCCTTATTTGGTGCACTCTTTATAGTGAATAATTTCCCATTTTATTAAAAGCAATAAGATGTTCTGTTGTGAGCAATGCTGGATGATGATTCCATTTCCTTGGTGCTGAAGCCACTCATACATTCTTGCCTTATGAATCATAGTGCATTCAAGGCATGCAATAATAATAATCCCCTTCCAAGGAGCAGCCTGTAGACTCCAAGGGTAATTATGAAATTGTCCTGTGTAATTTACCTCCAAAGGAATAGAGGAAACAGAAGAAATGATAGCATTATGAATGTTGTTCTTAAAAAATATCTTGATATCGCTAAACATGGGCACACATCCATAACATACTCTTATTGGGCACCTTTAAATTATGTGTGCCTTTCTCCATTAATTGACTCTGGTTTAATATTTTTAATACTGCTGTGTGTGAAGATGATGTGGTTTGTGAGTCAAATTTCATGCTGAGTTTAATATTCTCAGAACCTTAAGCTTCCAGCGATATCACTTGAGACTCTTTATGAGAGAGAGAATTACCTGAAATTCTAGTCATGCCAGTCCCACCAAATTATTGCAATAGGCACATATCCAAGCAATTTGCACAGATCCTGTTTAAAGTATTGCTTCTTATAAGAGCTCAATTGACCATCTAAGGAGTTTGGGATGTATAAACAGAGCATTTTGGATTTCATTAATATAAAACAAAAGACAATCTGGAAATAGCTAAATCTATCTTAAAGATTTTATTCACTGATGTCCCGTCAAACTAATTGCTTCAAATCCCTATAGATATAGCTCAACTTCTGCACTTGCTATTCAGTATTAATAAGGTGGCATGCTTGATTCTTATTGTTTTTAAAAATGAAAAAAATTGGAGAGAGAATACCATTATGTCAACTGTATGGGACTCTGAATCTTAAAGATGTAGATGGATATAATCTTCTTTAGAATTTATATACACCCATAGATATGTATTTATATATACATACATTTTGTACAAATTTAAAATCGACTTTTTGTATTCTCTTTTCTGCCATTACAAGAATGAGATGGAAACCAAATAGTTATTCCATCCTCTTATCCAGAGAGGATACTGAGAAGTCAGGTATATGCATGTACTTATTTCTCTGGGGTCAAATCTGAATGCCTTTCTCTTTATTTAATGAAAGGGGAGAGTTCTGGTTGGCTTGGGAAATTGGTAATTAGATAAGCTTCCTTTCATAGGTAGTGACTCAAGTTTGCAATGATAATGAACTTGTGACCATATCTATGTGGTCTTAATATCTAGGTGGAAAGCAAAAAACATCTAGAAGAGGTTTAGGACCACCTAGACCACAAACCTGGATTGTTGCTCGATTTTCTATTTTTAATCTATATGTTGTGTGGAAATAAAACATATCTGCATAGCTAAAGGTAAAGTAAAAATATGACCATTATATGTTTAGTTTGATAAGTAGTTTTTGGAAAATATGGATAAATTAGCTTTAAAAACTTTGGCATCTGACTTTTCCATCATTTCTATTTATATCAATTGAATTAATTAGATAATGTTCAAAATTCTATTTTTTTTCATTGTGACGACATATGCTTTCAATTCTTTTCTGTGGCTGACAGTTGAGCAATGCTAGCTGATATTATGTGGAACTTGTAGGTTAAATTAGAACCAGAAACTTTCATCTAATCTGGCCAGACTCCTCAAGTTCACTTTGAATCTGAATCTGAAAAGCCACTTATCTAGGCCAGCCTCTGTTGAAACTAATAATTGTGGCTTATAGATATTTGGTTCACATAAATTGATTGATTTATAGAGTGGTATTTAATCATTGATTGAATAATAATTTATCCTGATTCTGATTTTTTTTTAGTTTATTTGATAGCATTTGAGAAATAACTGATGGCTTAACATCAATACTTATTAATGTCACCAACCTAATAATACAATTGGTGCCATGTAGGAATGCTTAGCTAAGAATAAGAATTTAATTAACTTTAATCGGGGACAATGTCTTATGAAGTGGTTCTATGTGAGGCAGAGACTTGTGACTTAATTGAGTTGTTTTTATAGAGAGATTAACAATAGTGATGACAACAAGAACAACAACAGAAAAACTGATTTTTGAACTCGAATATATCTAAGAAACAATAATAAAACAGATATTAGAATTCATGGAAAATTTGTTTTGCTTTTCTATCAATAAAAAGTTTTCTTGTTAAATGGCTTTTTGGACACTTTCCTTATTAACTTAATGTATAATATAACAGGATTACAAAAGTACTCACTATATTACCCTCAGATGCTCAAAGGAAGTAGTTTGTTTTTTTTTTTTAATTCTATCACTCATCTGACCTTCTTCACAAACCAATTGCATG